TTGTAGAAACCTGTCACAAACAGCCGGATTCGCTCTCTGTTTCAGATTACGGTTGGCTTGATGATCTAGATCAGAGTCATTGAACGGATCATCCGAGCCCATGAAGCAGCATCCGCTTCAGCTTAACCAACCAAAACAGTGGGAGTATCAGTCAATGTGAATTTAGTGTGAATTCATGATCACTGATTAGTGAGTGTGTAAGTGAGCGTGTAATGTGAATATATAATCAAGTAAAGTTAAAGCAAGCAAGTTCAACAAGTCCGAATGAAAAGAAAGCCGGCAGATTTATAAACGGCGATTCACACCGTCGCCGAGTTATCGGAAGTCGATTGCTAAATGACAATCCTTAAAACCCGGCTTTGTTCCATTAATCTGCCACTATTGGTCCACGTGTCGTTTCTTTTATTGACGATTAAATCAGGCTTTATTGGTACAAAATGCGAAATATACTTTTATGATAGGAAGTGTTGTGGTAGAAAAACACGGGATAATATAATGACTTGTTAATTTGATTTTAGTGGAATGCAACCACATTGTAAATTGTAAGTTGATCCCTTCATGTTGTTATATACATACACATACAGATACTAGTTTGGTGGTAGGCGGGCCCAGGAGAAGAGGTGCAACTCCTCCGGTCCTTGGTTCGATTCTTCCTCTATGCTGTTATCAACATTGTGTGGAAAGTCTGTCAAAGTAATGATGATAAATTGATAATTGCAAACGTCACTCGGTCTGAAGAGAAAAATGAATGGAAAACCAAAACAGGTGTCAAACTGCGATGGGGGGAAGTGTAATAAATCTTGGTTGCTTACGCAAAAGTAGATTTATTTTTGGAAAAAAATAAAAAATAATAACTGAGCGAAAATAAAAAATTTAAAGAACTCATCTTCATCTTCATTTACTTTTTTCCCAAAACAACAAAACTCCCACCATTTTTGCTTTTTACGTCATCAAAACCCTTGTTGGACAGAGTTTCCGATGACACATTTCGTGGTGTTTCCGAACAAGTTGTACTCGAACCAGACAGATTTCATGAATACATTCTGTCAATATCTTCTCGACAAGGGCATGCTCAAAAGCCACACTCTGGGTTTTCTTTTTTTGGTGAAGAGATAGAAGATGCGATACAAACCAGAGGAACTCCAAAGGATCAAGCCGCACATAAACTTATGAAAGACATTATAATGAATTGGATTAAAGAGGGTCCCTCAATGCACAATGGCGATAACGGCAGATTATGGATTTTGGGAGGTGATGAAGGAGTTAAAAGCTTGTAATCATGAAGTCCTAATTGCTTTTGGAAATTGGAGTTCCAATACTTCGAGCTTTAACTTTCTTCAGCCTCTTCACGACTTCAAGTAGAGAGTAACTGGTTTTATTCGAGATCAACTAATACATTTGATATGTTGGAAGTATGTGGTATGTGATATGATAGTGCTTCCAAAGTTTTGCATGGCTAAATTTAAGGAATACTTAGTCGTATCTCTTGAAGTAATGTTGATATATGATGGTGTTAGAAAGACGACAAAAAATGCTAGTAGACGTGAGTATCATGACATACCCCAATACCTTCTCATCGCCTTTTTCTCTATAGATATGCCATATAAAGATAAAACAAACGAGGATGCAAAAGAACTAAGTAACAACGAGAACTCTAAGGTTGGTAACTTAATATTGCTTTTCATGTTATTTTGTTGTGATGATCAATCGCTCTCGTGCTTAAAATGTTCAAAGCTAAACGATATGTCAAAACTGTGGGATGTCAAAATGCATCGGTAGGAAAACGTTTCGCCTTAAAAAAAACTAAATAATTATTGAAATGAATTAAATGTAAGAAAAAAACTATTTGATAAATGAATTTCTATTTGTTGACAACTAATTATTAAGTTTTAATCTTTGACCAAGATCCAATATTTTACTCCAAATATCTAAAAAATTGATGCTCATGGGTTTCAGATATACTAAAGATCTGGCCAACACTTCATCAAAGAGAAAACATGTGGAAGGAAGGAAGTCAAATAAAAAATCTGTGGGAGGTTTTGACGACACTTGATTAGAGGATGAGGAGGTTTTCTCACGGGAACAATTCTTTCTTTTGCTACAATTATCGGAAAGCGACATAAATTCTGATGATGTGGTAAAGTTAAGTTCCAATGAAGAAAGTATTGACTCCA